ATTGTCAGTGCTCTCCATGCTATCTGAAGACTCTGAGTTGGAGTGCCTGCTCCAAATACCAATAAGCCCATTAAAGAAATTCATCCTTTCAATTCTGTTTCTCTAGAACCACTCCTGGTACCACAATCTGTATAAGGGTTCTCCAAAGAAACAGAACCAGTAGAATGAATATATGTATAGAGATTTATCAGCTTAGCTCACAGGATAGAGTCCGAGAAGTCCAACAATGGCTGCACCACACTGGAGAGGCTGAGAATCTGTAGTCGCTCAGTCCACAAGGCTGGATGTCTCAGTAGTCCCAATCCGGTGCTGAAGGTCTGACAAATTCCAAAGTATCAGCTAGTCTTCAGTCTACAGCAGCAAGATGAACTCACCAGCGAGAGAGAAGGCAAGCCGCCAAAAGCCCCATGTTCTCCTCTGCCTTGGTCTTTTATACCAGCTGCCATCAGAAGGTAATGCCCACATTTAGGATGTGTCTTCTGGCTTTAGATGATCCAATCAAGAAGATCTCTTTCATTTCCGTTAATCTCAGATCCAATCAAGTTGACATCCAGGATTAGCCATCACACCTCCTTTTAGAACATCCAGTTGTCTTAAATAGCTTCCTTCTAAGAAAGATGTGGGAAGAAATTGCTACACAATAATACATAACACAGTAGGTATTCTAACCCCAGTACTGACAAAGGGTGAGTGGGAAGGAGGGAGAGATGAAAGGAAGATCATGTCATGTTCCTTTATCACAGAGATGCTTTGAAGGTCCTAGTTCCTCCACATCTTTCTCAGCATTTATATTTGTCTTTCATTGTATAGCCATTCTAGTGGTTGTGAAGTAATATCTCATATGGTTTTGATTTTGTTTTTCTATTGGTTAATGATGTTAGATCTTTTATTTTTTAAAAATGTTCCGCTGGTGGCATACGCCTTAATCCCAGCAGAGGCAGGAGGATCTCTGTTGAGTTCAAGGCCAGCCTGGTCTACATAGTAAGTTCTAGGCCAACTGGGCCTACAGGGAAACCCTTCTCAAAAAGACATCATCATCATCATCATCATCATCATCATCATCATCATCAAATAAAAATAAATCAAAATAATAATGTTGCACATGGGGCTGGGATGTAGCTCATTTGGAAAGTATTTGCCTAATATGCATCAACCCCAGTACCACATAAACTGGGCAGGGTGGTCCATGCCTGTAAGCCCAGCAAGAATATCAAAAGTTCAAGGACATCCTCCACTACATAGCGATTTCTAGGCCAGCTTAGGCTACAGGAGACCATCTCAAAAAATTAAATAAATAAAAAATAAAAGGTACACGTGTTGATTAGAATACTGTTTTTAGCCTATGAAGAAATGAATGTTTTGCCCTTATGAAAGGGAAACAGACTATTAATAAATACATATTACCTTCTAGAGGAAAAAAGTAGCATAATTCTTAAGAAATTGCTGTTTGCTTGATGGATTTTCCCTTTTATCATTACATGTCCTTCTAGATCCCTGACAATTTTCTTTGCTGCTTTTATAAGTTCACATTTATCTGAATTTCTTTCTTTTTACTTTCTTTAAAATTATATTTTTATTTTATATGTATGAGTGTTTTGCCTGCATGTAAGAGTATTCATGCATGTGGTGCCCACAGAAGTCAGAAGAAGGCACCAGATCCTCCAGAACTAGCATTACAGAGGCTTGTTAGATACCATGTGAATGCTGGGAACCAAACTTGGATCCTCTGTAAGAGCAACCAATGCTCTTAACAACTGAGCCATTCTCCAACCCTCCTTTTTGCTTTCAACTTTTCTATATTATCGTATTTTAAAAAAATATTTTATTTATTATTTTATGTGTATATGTATATTGCCTGCATGTAGGTAAGTGCATTCATGTCATGCAATGCCCACGGAGGACAAGAGTCTGTCTGATCCCCTGGAACTGGAGTTATGGACAGTTGTTAGCTGCCATGTGGGTGCTGGGATTCGAACCCGGGTCTTCTACAAGAACAGCCAGTATTCTTAACTACTGAGCCATCTCTCCAGGCCCTATATTATCATATTTAAAGTTAATATCTTGGGTTGGTCATGGCAGTACATGCCTTTAATCCCAGCACTAGGAGGCAGAGGCAGGTGGATCTCTGAGTTTGAGGACGGTCTGATCTACATACAGAATTTCAGTCCGGCCAGGGCTACATGATGAGACCCTGTTTCAAGAAAGAAAAAAGAAAAAAGGGAAGATGAATTTCCTTTAAAAAAAAAGATTTTATTTATTTTTAGTATATGAGTGTTTTGCCTTCATGTATGTGAGTATACCACATGCATACCTGGTGCCCACAGAGGCCAGAAGAAGGCATAGGGTCCTCTGAAACTGGAGTTAAGGACAGTCTTAGCCACCATATTGGGTTTACGGAACCTAATCCAGGTCCTCTGGAAGAGCAGTAAATGCTCTTAAACTACTGAGCCATAAAGTTGAATTTCTTATAAACTGCATATAGTTAGGACATGTTTCTTAATTTCTGACTTTTAAAACTAGTATGTGTAGACCATTTAAAGGACTAGCCAGATGACTCCATGGGTAAAATGTTTGCTGTTGATCTATGTTTGCTGGAATCCATGTAAAGGTAGAAGAAAACCAGTTCTACAAAGTTGTCCTCTAACCTCCACATGTGCACGATGGCATGTGTGCACACACTCCCCATCATACAACATATATAATTTTTGTGTGTTAGGCTTAGGTCTACCATTTTATTTTTATTTTCTGTTTTTTTTTTTCTACTTTATCTTGCCTTTTCTAGGTTACTTGACTATTAATCACAATGTTTTTGAGTGTAATTCTTGATAGAACTCTTTTAATGGTGCTTTAGATATAACACACATATACAACAGCTTACTGGTATTGTCATTTTACCAGTTTGGGTGACATTATATAGAAGCCTTACCTCTTAATTTCCATTTTCCCTCCCCCCCACCACTTATAATTATCATAAATACTTTCCTTTGCATATATTTTGAACATATAGTTATAAATTTTGCTTCAACCACCAAAAAGTAATTTTGAAAACATGAGAACAAATGTTCATCACATTTACCTATATTTTCACTTAACAATTTCTTTCTGTCTTCCTGATTCTTTATTGATTCCCTTTGGTTATTTTGTTTTGTTTCTAAAGAGAGCTACTTTTTGCTATTCTTTTAAGAGTTTTTAAAAAAAAAATATGTATATTGTGTTTTTGTGTCAGGGTTTATGCAGAAGCCAGAGACATTGAATCCCCAGAAGCTGGAATTATAGGTGGTTGTGAACTGCCCAATATTGGTGCTATGAACTGAACTCTGTCCTCTGCAAGAGCAGTATGTGCTCTTAAGCATTGAACCATCTCTCCAGCCCCTTTGTTATTCTCTTAGGTCTGCTGGTAACAAATTATCTTAAGACAGTTTCCTCTTCATTCTTGATAAATATTACTGTATATAGGAATCTGGTTTGCCAGGGTTGTTTATTTGTTGGTGTGAACACTTAAAAAAAATGTGCCATTTCCTTCTGACTCTTTCTTTCACAGTTCTATCTCTTCTTTTTATTAAGCACCTGGTACTTATTTTAAACCCATTCTTTTCTTCTAAGCTGTTCAGTGTAGTCTGGAAAGTATCTTTTCATCTCCCCTGTTAGAATTCCATTTGTCTTGTGTTTTTATTCTCTTCCTGCAGGGAAGAAATTTTTTTGAACTTCAGTTGCTACCCTCACATTTGACTAAATATGAATTTATAAGTTGCCTGGGAATCTTGAAAGCATAGTTTCATATCTTTATCATTTATATATGACCAGGTTTGGATTTTAGGGTTGTTTTGTTTTGTTTATGTACTTTCACCTTCATTAACCTTTTCTTAATCAAGCTCCTTAGACCACCAAGCCATGCTGCCTTCTCTAGCTTTTTCGAATGTACTGAAATTTGACAGTGATGTACCTTCTAGGTCTATTTTCATTCATTATGGTGACTCAAGGCTAAGCCTTTCTCATCTGGAAATTTGTTTCCTTCAACCCTGTACAACTTTCTTAAATTTTCTCATTGATTTCTACTTGGTTTTTGTGTATTCTTTCTCATGTTTCTTTTGTTTGGATGTTGGTCCCTCTAACTTTATTGTTCACCCTTATATTCTGGAAGATAGCCTCAACTTTTGTTTTCCATCTTCTGAGTTTTTCTGCTGTCTTATTATATCCTATTTTTAATTTCTAACAGTCTTTCCATTGCTATGTTTTTTTTCAGACAGGGTCTCAGTTTGTACAGAGGATCTCCTGTTCTCCCGCCTAAGTGCTACGATTATGGGTGTAAGCCACCACTCTCAGCTTAAAATTCACCCTATTTAGTGTATATATTTTTATTAGTTTTGACAGGTAAGCACCATTATAAACAAGATACAGAAACTTCTTTGGGAAATTAGACTACCCTAATGTCAATATTTTTAGGATGTGTGTATATATGTATATATTTTGAGTTACTGTGGGGTTGGTCAGAATTCTCAAAGAATCTTTTTTTTCTTTGATTTTTTTTTAATTTGGTAATTTCATACATGCATGTAATTTGTTTTGATCAAATCCACTGCCTTTCCTTTCCCTTCAGTTCCTCCTCTGTCCCCCACCTCTCCCCACCCAATTTCATGTGCTTTTTTAAAAAATGTATTAGAAATTTTTTTTGTGTATTTCATACAATAAATCTTAATCATATTTAGACCATACCTCTCATGCCCCCCCAATGGATTTCATGCATTCTGTCATATATGTTAAGACCTATTGAGTTCATCCACTGGACTCTAGTCACAATCTAGAGTCACTTGCTTTAGGAAAATCAACTCTCCCTCACCCAGCAGTAATCAGTTACCAATAGTTTCTTGACTAAGGTTGAGGTCTGCTTCCCATTTACCCAGTTATGTGCTGGGTTTTTACCTGCTTGAGCACAAGGATCATCTTTTGTACTTTTACTTAGGGTCTATGAGCCTGATTACAAACAAGCCTTTGTAAGCCAAGTGGTAGAAAGAAGCTAAAAGCATTCAAGATTTAGCATATAAACTTTTTGTTTGTTTTGAGAGCTGGCTTATAACTGGCTATATAGACCAGACTGGCCTCAAAGTCACAGATATCTACTTCTGCCTCCTAAATTCTAGGACTAAAGATGTGTGCCGCCATGCCTGGCAGCATAATAAACTTTTAACTTGACTCTCCTGTTTTTTAGAGTATGTATCAGATACAGTCTCATTTGTACCTGATATTTCTGTAGCCCTAGCTAGCCTGGAACTCACTGAGATCCAGCTGCCCCTCAAGTGCTGGGATTAAAGGTGTGAACCACCATGCCCAGCTTATACCTGATACTTCTTATTCCAAGAACTTTGGTTTACATTTTCCATAGAATAAAATTGTACTCTTGGCAAATCCTTGTATCCCAACACTCAGGAGGCCCAGGTAGGAGGATGAGTTCAAAGGCAGTTATAAAACAAATCCTTTTCTCAAAAAGAAGCAAGCAAACAAAAAACTACTTCAGTCTTTTACTGTAATGGGGAAAGGGATTCTTTAACTGTACCTTGAATGGATACTGTCCTTGATAGTGCCAATTCCTAAGCCTCATAGGGATTCTGCTTCCCACCTGTTTTCACTGCAAATTTAAAACCTAGTTTTCAGACCTACCAAGTCAGTTACCACTTTTGCTTTTCGGTTTCTAAATCAGTGCCCTCATATCATTTCTTTGTTCACAGTGGCAATATTATACCTTTAAAAACTTCTGCTTGTCATTTGAATGAATTTTCAGGGAGGATGGAAGTAATTGCAAGTGTTCAGTCCATTATATTTAACTGGAAGCCTCCTTTTTTTTTTTTTTTAAACGAAGCTTACATTGTGGGGACCCTTTCATAGTCTAGCTTCTGCTTGTCTTCTTATTTCTCATTCTACTGCAAATGACCATCAGCCTACGCTATAGCCCTATCTAAGCTACTTGTGAGACTAACAAACCCTGTTGCTTCATGCCACTCAGTTCTGCACATACTCTTGTTTTTGTTTTTTTAAAAAATATTTTATTTATTATTTTTATTCGATGTGTATGAGTGTATTGCATGTATGTATGTGAGTGCACCCATGTTGCGCCATGCCGCTGAGGTCAGAAGAGGGCTTCGGATTCCCCTGGAACTGGAGTTAAGGACGGTTCGTAGACGCCATGTGGGTGCTGGGAATCGAACCTGGGTACTCTGCAAGAGCAGTCAGTGCTCTTAACTGCTGAGCCATCTCTCCAGCCCCACATACTCTTGTTTTATGTATATAAGTGTTTTGCCTGCATGTATGTAAAGTGTACCTGTTTGTGAAGTGCCAGAGGAGATCAGAAGAGGGTGTTGGATCCCCTGAAACTGGAGTTACAGATGGTTGTTAGTGGCCATGTGGGTGCTGGGAACTGAATCCAGGTCCTCTGCAAGAGCATCCAGTGCTCTAAACTCCTGAACTGTCTCTCTGGCCCCCTCCGTGCATACTCTTTCTCAGTGTGCTGTTAAGTACTTTTGGGGGGGGGGTGTTTTTTGAGACAGGATCTCACCATGTAAGACCAGGCTGACCTAGAACTCACAGAGATCTCTGCCTCCCAAGTGCTGGGATTAAAGGTGTGCTCCACCACGCCCAACAGCTGTTAGTTTTTTTTTTTTTTTTTGGTTGTGTTTGCTTTATGTTTTGGTATTAGAGTGATGTTGACATCATAGGAGACGTTTGGGAGTTCTCCCTCTGTTTCAATTTTTTTTGAATAATTTAAATACTGTTGGTTGTAGATCTTTAAATGCCTGGGAGAATTCTGCTGTGAATCCATCTGGACCTGGGCATCTCTTAGTCTGGGGTATTGTATTACTGTTTCAATTTCCTTATATGCTATGGGTTTGTTTAAGATGTTGATTTCTTCTTGGTTTAGCTTTGGTGGTTCCCATGATTTTAGGTATTCATTCATTTCTTTTAGGTTTTCAAATTTAATACAGTATGGATTTTTAAAGTATTTCCTATTAATGTTCTGAACCTTTCTGGTGTCTGTTGTGATGTTTCCCCTTTCATCTCTGATTTTGTAATTTGGAGGTGCTCTTTCCTTCTTTTGGTTAATTGGGCTAGCGGTCGGTCAATTATCCATTCCCCCCTATCTGCCCTTCTGGTAAATCTAGTCAGCCAGAGGTCCCTGTTCCAGGAGGATCAGCTGTTCCTCATCTAGGGGCAATCCATTGTCAGTATTCCTTTGGATAGAATTGGGGTCTGCTGTTCATTTTTCCAGTAGTGTGTTGGGTTACTATCTGGCTGTTAGTTTTTAATTCATTTAAACTTTGCTGATTATCCAAGTGTCACACCAAATGCTTCTCTGTAAGAGTGCTTATGGTATTACTATAATTTATTTACTTTTTAAAATCACTCTAGAGGTTTCTTAAAAAGTACAGGTGTACCGTAGAGGGGCTATCCATGAATTAACTACAAGAAGTCTTGCAAAATTCTAAAATTATTTGAAAAATTTCTTGTGTGCATTATATTGAAAAGTTGGAAATGCACATCAGAAATATCTGCAAAACTTTTTAAAAATGCAATTACGTTGCACAGTAGAGTCTGTAAAGTTAGGGCTCAATAAGATGCATTTTAAAAAACCTTCCTGGACTGAGGAGACAGTTAAATTAGTAAAGTGCTTGCCATGCAAGCATAAAAACCTAAGTTTGATCCCAGGCACCCATATTTTAAAAAGAGAAGAAGCCAGTGTGGTGACAGCAAGCCCTGGGGATCTGGGGAGGCGGAGATAGGTGGATGATTCCTTGTGTTTGCTGGGAAGTTCCAGACCAATGAGAGACTCTGTCTCAAAAGAACAAAAAAGGAAGGAAGAAAAAAAAGAAAGAATGTGGCACCTGAAGAATGACACCTCTGGTTGACTTGTGGCTCCATGTGAATGTACACACACAAGCCCACACACATAAGTGTTCTTTGGAACAAGATCGCTGATCGTCTACAGTAATTAAGTAAAGCGTCTGGCATATCTATGGTGAATGCTGCTTTAAAGTATGAACAAAGAATGAAGGAGGAATTTATGTTTAGGACATGACCTAAAATTAATTTCCTACATGAAACCAAAATATAAATGGTCATTAATTTCCTTTGTGTATATAAATGAAGTCATAGCATCTATACCTCCACCTTTGGATATTGTTAGGGAAATAGGGGATTGACTTTTCTTCCCCCAGAAATCGACAAATTTGGAGAGTTGTTTGTAGGAAAAATAAGATTAGATGTGATGGCTCATGCTTGTAATACCAGAATTTAGGAGATAGTGGCAAAACAGGAGCATTGGGTTTCCGGCCAACCTGGATTATATAGAGGGACCCTATCACAGAAAAACAAAACAACAATTATTTCTGTATATTACAAATTAAAATACATGTGAACTATGTCCTTTTTTACTCTTAAGCCTCTTTTGTAAGGCACAGAGCTGATGATGTGTTTATGTACATGCTAAAAAAAAAAAAACAAGGTTCCTTTGCTTTTTTAATTTTCTCTTTTTATTTTATTTAGGTATTTAAGAGATTATGGCATCTGAAACCCACAATGTTAAAAAAAGGAACTTCTCTAATAATATTGAGGATCATTCCCTTGATCTTCCTAGAAAGAGGATCTCTAATTTCACTAATAAGAACATGAAGGAGGTAAGTCCATCGTTTCTAGGTAGTAAGACAAATTTAAACTATCAAGTCTATAGGTCTTGTTAAATTGTTTAAACAATGGGAAGATAATTCTGCTTAATAGATTAAATGAAACATAACCATCATCTTCCTAAAGTTCAAAAAAAAAAAATTGGGCAAGTAAGCTGTTTTGTTAAGCTGTAATATAAATGTTTTAATTTACCAGGAAGCCCAGAAATGCTTTTTGTTCATCTTTGAAAGGTCTAAAGGCTTGTTAGAACTGAAATAGTTTGCTTAAAGGCACATTAAACTTCAACTCACTTATTAAGCACCCTCTAAGTTCAACATGTGACAAATACTATGACAAAAAGGGAGCCGGATATGTTACTTTGTCAAATATACCTAAACAGAATATTATACCTATAGTTGAAACCATGGTTGACCTGAAAAACTTACCTGTTTAAGTTTGTTGACATCAGTTATAAAGTTTACATAACCCTATTAAATAACTTAATGCTATTTACTTGATTATTTTTAGGTTAAGAAATCTCCAAAACAGTTGGCTGCTTACATAAGTAGGTAAGAGCATCTTTAAAGTTTGTAGGAAAATATTAAAAGGTGGTTAAAGATGAAAACATGAAACAAAACAAATATTCTTTGTGTTATAATTGTAGCTAACCTAGCCAGGCGTGGTGGTGCACTTGAGAAGCAGAGGCAGGTGGACTTCTGTGAGTTAAAGGCCAGCCTGGTCTACATAGTGAGTTCTAGGCCAGTTGGGGCTACAGGGAGACCCTGTCTCAAAAAGACCAAAAATAAAAATTAAAAAAATAATAATTGTAGTTATTGTCAAGCAGTTCCCTTTTGCCAGGCTTTGTCCTAAAATATCAATATTACCGGTTCCTTATAATAGTTCTCAGTAGATACCACTATCCATAAAAGTTGATGATAATAATAATGATCAGAGGAAGTAAGTAATTTTTCAGAATAATATAGCCAGAAAGAAAAACAGCATTAATTTGCTGAGTGACCTAGCTCTAAAAGTAGTTTTCTACAAAACTATTCATATCCAAGGTGTAATCTGAGAACTTAGGGGTCCCTGAGGCCCTTACAGAGAGTTTATGAGATTGCTATTCACCTTGGTAATTTTCACTTTTTAAAAAAATATTTCATTTATTATTTTTATGTGTATGTGTGTATTGCCTGCATGTAGCTAAGTGCACCCATGTCATGAAATGCCTGTGGAGGACAAAAGAGGTTGTCGGATCCCCTGGAACTGGAGTTAGGGACAGTTGTTAGCTGCCACGTGGGTGCTGGGATTCAAACCCGGGTCTTCTGCAAGAACAGCCAGTGTTCTTAACCACTGAACCATCTCTCCAGCCCCAATTTTCACTCTTAATGCAGTGTACAATAGAGTTTTTCAGAAATGTCATAACATTAATGTGAGACTATACAGAGACAGAAACAAGACTACAGCTGTCTTCTGTTAAACTGATTAGAAATTGGTAAAATATAAAAACTGCTATTTTCAGAATTTTTTGTGCTAGAAAATAATGGTTTTGGTAAAATAGTCTATATAGTCTATGTATCTTAGCTTTTCAATGCTTATAACAAAAAATTGGAAATAAAGAAATTTTTTCAAAAACAAGAATCCTTTATTGGGCAGGTATGGCAGTATGTGCCTTTGATCTCAGCACTGAGGAGACAGGAAGACAAATCCTATGAATTTGAGGCCAGCTTGGTCTACATAGCAAGTTCCAGACTACCTAGGGTTACATAGTAAGACCCTGTCTCAAAAAAAAGTATTATTAAAATAGAAGGTTAATTGGTACAATGCTATGCATAATCTCTCATCCTTAAAAAAATTAAGCAAATGATGCCAGGCATGGTAGCCCAGACTTAATCCCAGCACTTGGGAGGCAGAGGCAGACCAGCTCTGAGATCAAGGCCAGCCTGGCCCAGGTCACCTGGGGCAACAGGGAGATCCTGTCTCAACCCATCCTCCCCCGAGTCTACTGGATAAAAATAAAGAAGAAGAATGAGTATGTGAAAGACAAAAACTAAGATTTTATAGTGGTCCTTGTTATATCTCTGTATTGATGTCCTCCATAGTGACTTAGTAACTTTATAGCTCATTTCTCTACTATAGTAATTGTAAAAAGCTGACTTTTGCCAATGTTGCATACAATTATAGATGTTTCATTGAACTTTGCTAGTTAATATTCAATTAAATGTCAAACTATTAAGAAATTAGCCCATTCTCCAAAAAATACAGTAATTTTCTATAAAATGTGACCAGTAGACTATGATGTAAATGACGCAGCTATGAAGTGATGGAATGCCCTCCCTGGTTGGAGGAAACAGTTATTTTGGACAATTGTGTATGAACATTGGCAGTACATTCCTATATTTCTAGCACTTGGGAGGCTGAGGTAGCAGGATTATGAATGCAGAACTAGTGTTTGCTACATATAAATTAAGACCCTATCTCAGAAAGATTTATTTTGACTCATGGTTTCAGAGTTTCTATGACCTGTTGTCTTTGGGCCTGTGGTGAGGCACTACATCAGGGTCAGAGAAAACTGTTTACCTTATTGTGGTAAGGAAGGAAAATAATTTTTTAAAAAGCCCCTGGTCATGGGGCTGGAGAGCACTGACTGCTCTTCCCAGCACCCACATGGCAGCTGTGAACCGTCCTTAACTCCAGTTCCAGGGGAATCCTTAACTTCAGTTCCAGGGGAATCTAAAGCCCTCCTCTGACCTCCGGTGGCATTGCACGACACAGGTGCACTCACGTACATGCAGGTAATACACTCATACACATAAAATAAAAATAATAAAATATTTTTTAAAAAAAAGCGCCTGGTCTGATATCCCCCAAATCTTCAGGAATTTCAGGAATACCAACCATCCTGACACCAAAATATCTGGAAATCATTATACTCTATGAGGTTTGCTCTGTTGTGCGTTTTTTTGTTTTGTTTTGTTTTGTTTTTTTTGAGACAGAGTCTCCCTGTAGCCCCAGCTGGCCTGGAATTCATGCTCTGTAGACCAGGGTAGCCTTGAACTTGCAGAGATCCACCTGCCTCTGCCTTCCAGTGCTGGGATTAAAGGTGTGCACCACCACACCCAGCTATGTTCTTTCATAATCAAAATTAAATGTACTGTAGCTTAAAATAAACTTTACAGTGTTCACACTTGCATAATTTTCACTTACTAAATAAGTTTGTTACTTGTTCAAAAAAGCTTAGCTGTGTCAAAGGTGTTCCATTATCAAAGGCGCTCCATTCCTCTCCCATAGTGGCCTTTAATATTTATTATGGGACTGGAGAGATGGCTCAGCAATTAAGAGCACTGACTGCTCTTGCAGGGGACCCAGGTTCGATTCCCAGCACCCACATGGCGGCTACGAACTGTCCTTAACTCCAGTTCCAGGGGAATCTGAAGCCCTCTTCTGACCTCCACGGCATTGCACAACACAGGTGCACTCACATACACGCACACAATATACACTCAAAAATAATAATTTTATTATTTATTTTAAAACAACTGGTAGGGCTGGAGAAATGACTCAGTGATTAAGAACACTGACTGCTCTTCAGAGCCCCAAGTTAGTTTCCCAGCACCCAAATGGCAGCTAGCAACCTTCTGTAACTCCAGCTCCAGGGCATCTGACACCTTCTTCTGGTCTCTGTGTCATTGCATGCACCTGGTACACTTACATACATTGCAAGCAAAGCACTTATACACATAAAATATAAATAAATAAATGTTTTAAAATTTTAAAAGCCCAGCTAGCTATTGTCCCTTTTCATTTCATAGAGTGTCATACCTTCTTCATTGCCTTCCATGTAATATGTACCTTTTCCTCTTCAAACTAAGTTGACATTTTTAATATTTTTATATTTTATTTATTTTACGTGTATTGCCTGCATGTGTGTAGGTGCACCCATGTCGTGCAGTGCCTACAGAGGTCAGAGGAGGGCATTGGATTTCCCTGGAATTGGAGTAACAGATGGTTGTTGGCCATCATATGGGTACTGGGAATTGAACCCGGGTCCTCTGCAAGAGCAGCCAGTGCTCTTCCTAACTGTTGAGCCAGCTTTCCAGTCCCAAGTTGACATTTTTTTATTATTCTCTTATTTTAATGGATTATAGTTACAAAATGTAGCTTACTAAATCTCTGTAAAAGCTTTTCATTTTTTTTCACTTAAAAAAATATAAATTATTTTTACAGAACAGTTGGACAAGCTGTGAAAAGCCCAGATAAACTACGAAAGGTGCTCTACCACAGAAAGAAAATTCATCATCCCTTTCCAAATCCTTGTTACAGAATCAAACAGTCCCCTAAAAGTGGGGGCCGTGACATGGCAAATAAAGAAAATGAACTGGCTTGTGCAGGCCACCTGCCTGAAAAATTACGCCATGATAGTCGAACATTTTTGGTTAATTCCAGTGATTCTGGTTCTTCACAGACAGAAAGTCCATCGTCAAAATATAGTGGGTTTTTTTCTGAGGTAAGTCATTTTTATTTTTAGCTTGGCTTTATTCCTATTACATGATGTTTTTGTTTTTTTTTTTTTTCCTTTGCCTTATTCTGCTAACAGATTTCCACTCATTGAACATACACTTATGGAATGATAATAACCCCTCTAAGACGGTTTTATAGATTAATCGCCCCTTAGTTAGCAATAGAATGAAATGCTTAACAGGCTGCTATAAATACCCAAATGACAAATTGACTAATAAAAATATAAAAGAAAGGAAAACTTAGAAATTGTGCCTAAGACATAGATCACTAGAACCTGCTGTTAGCCAGTTACACTTTGCTGGGCTCTCAGAATTTCCTAGTCGAGACTTTGCCTAGCAAACCTGCTAGCTGTTCTAATTGTAAAACTAACCATCAGGAAAGTATTTGTACAAGTGTACAATTATCTACAAGTATCAAGATGTTCATGGATACTTAGTTTTTAATAGATGAAAACCAGAAAAAAATCTAGATAAATGATGGTGCATTAACACTGGAAATATGCTATTGTTTTTGTTAAATGAAGTTAGTATATATTTGACATTGAAAAATGTTCATAGGTTCATATAGACAAAAAAGCAAAGTTTTTTAAAGTACAATTTTTATTATTTTTAGTGTGTTAGCATTCTGTACCTATTCATCTTTGTCTAGAACATGGAAAGATATGTTCCAGTCTATTAAGTATAATTACCTTCTGGAGAATTATATCAGATGTTTTTCCCAATGGAGTATTTACTTTTGTCTTAAGTAGTTTTGTGTTAAAGTTCCAAACAGGAGTGTGTTGCCTTATCTAAAAATACATTTAAGTGACACTGTAGTGCTTATCACAGAACAAAACACAGTTTCGGCTTCCTTTCGCATGCTTTTCAGTTGATAATGACTAGCCTATATGCTTACCTTTTCACTGGATCCACATGTCTGAAACTAAGTCTTAGGTTTAAGGGTCAGCTAGAAAGAACTTGTTTTATAAATTATTGGGATTTTGAAAAAAATGAAAATGGTAGCAAGCAAGGAGGGAGGGAGAGAAAAGGTCCTAAATTTGTTCACATCACTTGTCTGTTATGTTCAACTTCAGGATTCTTTTCTGAGGACCAGGATAAGGAGCCACCTTTGCATAATTTAAAACTATGTTTACCAGATGGTTTTCATTAAAAAAAAAAAAAAAGTCTCATATCATGTTTCAGTGTGCTTTTAAACAAATTCAGTGATTGCCTTTCAGGTTTCTCAGGACCATGAAACAATGGCCCAAGTTTTGTTCAGCAGGAATTTGAGATTGAATGTAGCTTTGACTTTCTGGAGAAAGAGAAGTATAAGTGAGCTTGTAGCTTATTTGGTAAGGTGAGTGTGCCTTCTTGCTTTTTTATTTAACATGAGTAATTTTCAATATGAAAAGTGACTCTAAAAAAAATTCACTGGCTAAAGATTTAAACATGTTTGGTATTCATAAAAACTCTACACTTTAACATTCATCATCAATTTAAGTGTAATGAAGATACAGAAAACTATCTGTTTTATCAAATTCAACAAAACTATTACTTTTTCTAATTATAATTCTTATCTGTAAAAACTAAGTGATACCAATGTGGGAAACATAACTTAAAAAAAATAAAAAATTCCCGCCAGCACCTTTAATCCCAGCACTCGGGAGGCAGAGGATGGCGGATCTGTGTGACTTCAAGGCCAGCCTGGTCTACATAGTGAGTTCCAGGTCAGCTGGGGCTACAGGGAGACCCTGTCTCAAAACAAAAGTTCCCCTTTAAGTGGGGATTTTAAGCGTTACCTTATTCATTGTATTTAAGTCTCTCAAATATTACCTTACTGATGCCCTCATTGGTTACCTTCTTTAAAAATACTTAATTTATCATTTTCCATCTTCCTTCCTTGTTTTATGTTCCTTTATAGCATTTACCATTAGCACCCTGCTCTGTATATTTTACTTGTTTGTTGTCTTTTTAAAAAAATATATCTTTTTATGTGTATTAGTGTTACATGCATGTATGTAAGTGTGCCATGTTGAGCAATGTTCATGGAGGCCAGAAGAGGGTGTTGAATCCCCTGGAACTGGAGTTACAGATGATTTTTATTCTCCATGTGGGTACTGGGAATTGAACCCTGGTCCTTTACAAGAGCAGCCAGTGTTCTTAACCACTGAGCCATCTCTCTAGCCCCTGCTGTCTCTTGTGGATCCACCACCATCACCCACACTCACACAATGGAAAGCAAGCCCTGTTTCTGTGTTCAAGGAGCTTATAGTACAGTTAGGAAAGGAATGTGAAGTGACTAAAGAACAATTACAAAAGCATCTATGAACAGTTATGCAAGTTACATAGTTTCATGAAATAGATCGTGATAGTAGTGAAATGTCTGTTTTGTACTATATATCCTCAGCACTGGGTTTCATGATAAATACTGAAATTATTTGTTAAATAGTGAATTCCTCAAAAACAGGATAGAGATTGTCATATGAAAGTAAGGAAATCAGTTCTCCAAGTAATGATATCTTTTTTATGCTCACAGGATCGAAGATCTTGGAGTTGTGGTAGATTGCCTTCCTGTTCTAACCAATAGGTAAAAACAATATTTTTCAGGAAAATGTAAACTTAAAGATAACTTGTAATCTGTTCACAGTTTTATAATTTGGCATTTCTTTTAGTTTACAGGAAGAAAAGCAATATATCTCACTTGGCTGCTGTGTAGACTTATTGCCTCTAGTAAAGTCATTACTTAAAAGCAAATTTGAAGAGTAAGTGCCAATCTAAATCTCAGTTCATTTTCTCTTTCAGCATTCTTCATTTTGTGCTTTGTGGCTACATTGTAGTAGATTGGGTTCTGTGAAATATATGGTTTCTATTTTTTTTTAATTAAAATTTTAAATTACATTTTATTTATTTTGTGTATGCACATGTGCTGCAGCATAGGAGTGGAGGTCAGAGGACAGCTTGCAGGATTTGGTTCTTTCTATCTGGTGGGTTCCAGGGCTCTAACTCAGGTTATCAGGGTTGGTGTCGGGTGCCTTTACCCATTGAGCCATCCCTCCAGCCCTATGATTTCTGTGTTCAAGGAGCTTATAGTACAATTAGGAAAGGAATGTGAAGTGACTAAATAACAATTACAAAAGCATCTATGAACAGTTATGAAAGTTACATAGTTTTATGAAATAGATCATGAAAGTAAAGTTGTGTGTGTGTGTGTGTGTGTGTGTGTTTTAATAGGAGTGATCAATTATATGTGGGGGCTTTGGAGGAGGAATGTCATCTTTTCTAAAGGCTTCTTGTCACAAATTATCATTTCAGATATGTAATCGTTGGCTTAAATTGGCTTCAAGCAGTAATAAAAAGGTGGTGGTCAGAACTCTCATCTAAATCAGAAATTATAAGTGATGGGTAAGTATAGCTTTAAAGATAAAGCATGCTGCAATTTCTCCAGATAAGCATCTTAATTAAATGAATGAAGTGGTGATTTTTATACTATCATCATCATTCGGCAATTTTATTCTCTTCACTTTCAGAGAAATATTAAGCTACTATTTATTTATGAAAAAGTAGACAATCCAGTAACTCCCTGTGTCTCTTCTTCTGGCAGAACCCTATCTTTTATTTATTGGTTGCTTGTTTTGTTTTGTAAAAGGGTCTCAGTTTAGTCAAGGCTGGCCTCACACTCTAGTCTTCCAGCTCCCGCTTCCTCAGTACTGAGATTATAGATGTGAGACAGTGTACCTGCCTCAGCCCTTTAAGAAAGAAGAAACACAACAGTGGTTCAACCTTCATATACATTATATTAATAAGGGACGGAAAGAGTTGCCCTCAGTGCAATAAGAATTGGAAACATCTTGCCCTGGTCCTTCTGAAAAATATTACAACCATCATACTTTGAGTATTGCCATAGCTTAGAAATATGTGGAAATTCTACCAAATAGCTGAACTGAAGCCAGGTGTAGTGGAACATGCCTATAATTCAAGCATTTGGAAGGCTGAGGCAGGAGCACAAGTTTGAGGCTAGCCTAGGCTACGTAGCAAGATGCTGTATGGGAGGGAGGGACTGACTTTATTGAAGGAAAAAAAAAGCAAAAACAAGAAAACCACAAAAACCCAAATGATCTCCTTAAATTCCATAATCATTCTACACTCTCATAATTTTGTACTTCACATCCAAGAATAGGTTCTCCACATATTAGAAATGCCTGATCGTTTTTCATCTACTTTGATTGGTGTGTATGTTTTTTAAGTAGTTGCTTAAATAGTGTATGGTTTTTCTATTGATTAGAAAATTGAAAAATTTAAAACTTTCATTACATGTATTTGCTACAAGTCTATATCCTATAGTTGCTTTCTCATTTTTCTTTTCTTTTTCTCTTAGAAATATTAAAGTTTTAAAACAACAATTAAGTGGATTATGGGAACAGGAAAACCATCTTACTTTGGTTCCAGGATATACTGGTAATATAGCTAAGGTAATCTATATTTATAGCTTAAAAGTTAGATATGAATTTAACATTGATCTGTATTGATCTGTTATCTCTTAAAGGGAAAGATACATTGCTAGTTTGGGTTTAATATTTAAACTCTTAGAGGACACTGATAAAAAAAAGTTAGTGGGCCAGGCATGGTGGCGCACGCCTTTAATCCCAGCACTCGGGAGGCAGAGGCAGGCAGATCTCTGTGAGTTCAAGGCCAGCCTGGTCTACATAGTGAGCTCCAGGACAGCTGGGGTGACCCTGTCTCAAAAAGACCGAAAAGAAAAAAAAAAAAAGTTACTGGTAAGTAGTATTTCTACCCTGCTGTTGGGCATTTTGCTGTCATGAGTGGGTAATCATTGACTTCAAATTTTTCCTTGGCCTCCTCAAAAAAAAGGAACAAATTTCCATCAATCTTTAAGTATTTATCACCTTAGGTAATTGTATCCTATAAAAGTCATCCTCCTCCTCCTCCTCCCCCCCTCAATCCCCCTGTCTTTTTCTTTCTCCTCTTCCCCAAGCTGTGTGCTGAGGTTAGAGCTGCAGCACCCCAAAAAGTCTTAAAAACAAAAATCTATTTCTTTGAATTTTTTTGTTATTTCAGATTTTTGAAGTAGACAAACATCTTGCTGTAAAGACCTTTTTATTTGGGGTAATAGAACTGAAAAGTGATTGTTTACATAGAAATTTGCTGTTTTATTTATCTTATATTTGATGTTATGGTTATTGAGACAAGGTCTGTGTAGCTGATGCTAGCCCTGAGTACACTGTGTAGCCCCCATGGTGTTGAAGTTACTTTCTCCATGTCTTAGCCTCCCAGTCCCAGGATTGGTGGAATGTGCCGCCTGCCTGACCAATTTAATTTTTTTTAGTGAAATGAAAATTGCCAGTGGCTGTATCTCTGTAGACGACTTCCTTTCCTGCCCTCCATTGCCATTAGCTACACTGTGTCACTTTTTCAGGTTAAAAATCAGAAAGAGGATATTGTGAAACTAGTGAGTTCCAGGACAGCTGGGGCTACAGAGAGACCCTGTGTCAAAAAGACCAAAAAAAAAAAAAGTCCTTTAAGTATTGATTACAAAGCAGAGTTGTTTGAGCATAGGAATCGAAATATTCACTTACCACTTACCCAACATTCATTGAACATTTGCTGTGTGTCAGGCTCAGTGCTAAAGAAATTCGGATAAAAATGTTGAATAAGTATTTTTCCTTCTTGAGATTGGCTCAGCACCCACATGACAAATAACAACCATCCCTAACTCCAGTTCCAGGGACTCCAGAACCCTCTTCTGGCCTCTATAGGCACCTCACACACTGATGCACTAACACACATGCAGGCAAAATACTCATGCAAATAAAATAAAAATAAATTGAAATAAAGATTTTTTTCCCCTTCTTTCTAAAGGTTACAAAGGGAAACTAGGGCACATCAAGCAGCAAAAGTAGAAAAGAAAGAAGGTTGTGTATATTTGTATTTACTGTATTGACTAATGGAATGTTTTGTTTTATTCTTTAAGGATGTAGATGCTTATTTATTACAGTTGCATTGAGAGATTTCATCTTCTAAAGAGTATTTGGTTATTTAAAACATCGCTGGATTATATGATTTCTAAAAGTAGGTCTCTTCTGAGAACTGTGAACCCTGGAAGAAGTCAAACCATTTTTCTTTTTAAAAGCCACATAATAAAACCACTAATGAAATCCTAACAATCTACTTCACATTGAAGTGGAAAAATATCCAGATGGAGCAGCTTCAGCTTCAATGAGGTGAAAGTCCACTATGGAGACTGTTTGCCTTTGCTGCATGGAGAATTTATATGACTGTTGGGTAGCATTATTTAAGGACTACTGGATCTTAATGCAATCCTGCACAAGAATATCCTGTGTAGTATGTGAAAAAATTTCAGGACTTGTACTAGGAACTACAAAGACCAATCATCATTAATTTTTATTGTGTTTTATAAAGAAACACTTAAATGTATGCAGCTATTTTCTTCTGTTGAAAAGACCGAAAATTTAAAGCATCATAATCAATATTAAAATTTTTGTTCACACTGATACTGTGTATTCAAAATGCCTTAATTATTCATAAGCCAATGTGTTATAATACAATATCTCTCTTTTTTTTTAAAATTTAAAACAACTATGCTTCTGGCATGATAAAATCATGGAATTAAATCAGGGGTTTACATTCATGTAGAATGTTGTTGAAATATATTCCACACCATTTTTTAAACTTGAGAGTATTTTTAGTATCTCTGATTTTTTTTTTGCCAGAATCTTCATATTATGTTTGTATGTATGTGTTATCACTATATAAAGAAAAAAGGTGAATATGTATTTGAATGAATGTTTAACTGGAAATGTCCGTGGAGTTGGTTAATTTATATTCACTTTTTATTGTATATAGATTTCTAATGCTTTTCATTTCTGTAACATTTAAACTTACTTTGAGTAAATTTACTAAATATTTCTATTTTTTGTTTTTTTATTCTAATTTTATATGAAATCTAATTCTTTTCACTACATGTGTTTTGAAGTTCCTCCCATAAAATGTTTCAGAATTGTTTACAATTAATGCTGATATTTTAAGTTCCAACAAATTATATCACTACCTCCTCTAATGGTTAGTATAAAATTCTAGAAAACTGTATGAAATTTTTAGTACTATTTTTAGCATTAATTAACTCAATTCTGTAATGTCTGTAATAGTTCTGAATCTTACCTGTCTTAAAAGTGATTGGAGTTTAATACCACTACTGCTGGTTCATTCATCATCTATTTTTACTAAGTCTGGCAAGCATCCAAGCAAAGATAAATTTGATTTCTCTTCATATTCTAATGCAAATCTTTAATATTTACCAAGTTAGTAACTACCGGGAAGCCACCCCATCATCTTTTCTTACTATTAAAAAAAAAAAAAAAAAAAGTTTAATCCCAACACTTGGAGGCAGAGGCAGGCGGAGGTCTGTGAGATGGAGGCCAGTCTTGTCTACATGGGGAGTTCCAGACCAGCTTGGACTTCAGGGAAACCCTGCCTTCCAAAAAAAAAAAGTTTAAGATCTTACCTTTCACTGAGTTCTATTTTTATATAGCTATATTTTATTTAGCTGTATACTCACACTGAATATCAATTGTAATAATTGATTATGTCTTTAAATTTGAATCATTCCAGATTACTGAATTTTGTGATTTAAGAAGTGAGTTCTTTAAGAAGTCATTTTTCAGATGTGGGGATTAGAGTCATAAACCTGTATCATCTCTGTGAAACCTTAAAATGGAGAAATATAACCTTTTTTGTTCTTAATCCTTTCATTTTCACTGTTGTGTTTAATGGTCTGGACAGCGTAACTTGGGAAGTTTGGTGCTAATGAGGCTAAGGATCAGAGTAAGTTCATTAACTATTCATGTACACAAAATGACTTCATGACTTCAGAACGCACCTTCCCTCGGGTATCCATCTAACAAATTTAACTTGGATCCCAAGGAACATGGTGAGCATAGTTTATCATGAACACTGAAAGCAGAAAGATAAATACAGTGATTGGTTTGTATGATACTGTAGACTCTAGTACTGAAGAGAACATATTTAAAATAAGATCTGTCATACCTTGTAGGTTTTAGTTGCACAGTATCAAGTAAAATGAATCAGATCATCAACTAAACAGTGTCTTTAAAATAAAAGTTCAATAAATGAAGTACCAGTAAAAATAAAAATTAAATATAGTAAGAAAAAGTACTATTGTTTTAACAGAATTCTTATGTCTAAATGTACTTAGCAATATAAAAGGCATAGTCTTACCTCAGATTATATTCAGTAGCATACTCTTATAAATTCTGTTCTTGGCCTGTGCATCCTTAGTACCTACCTCTCAGTTATTGAGTTGTGATTAGTATTAGGTGATTTTAAGATTCTTGGATATCAAGTGTGTTAAGTAAGTATTATTGAACACTTCCACTACAGTTAAGCTCTTCTCATACTACAACATTTAAATTAGTACAGTGTTAATCTCCACCAGAGAGCCAAAGAGGAGTGTTTGGGCCAGTGTATTGTAATAGTTTAACTAGAGCAATTGCTACATGTAGTTACTTAATTGTTACTGTGCTGCTAAATAGGATGCAGAACTGAGAAATTACCCAAGATCTCTATGCCTTTTAGCTTTTCTACCTTCTTAAGTTTTCTGTACTTTGCCAACTTTGCACGTAGAGTAAGAGTTTATTGAGGCAACAGAGGATTGCTGTAGAATCATTTGCATTCACTAGAGATAACGTGAATGGATTTTATGTGAGATCATGGTCAAAATAAGGAATAAAATTAGAAAGCAAATAATGTCAGATTTTAAAAATAATTTTGATAGTAATAAAAAAATAATTGTCATCAGCTACTTACATGTAAATCCCAAAAAGTAAGAATTTGGGTGTGAGTATATCTGTTCTGAGTCATAATACTAGCATTGAACTCTAAGGTCTACTAAGGAATCAAATACTAATGACTCTAAACATTGATATACCATGTCATAACCGTAGGCATCGTAGTATGGACTCAGTGCTATATATTTCTACCATCCAGAACAGTAGTTCTCTTCAAGCATATCATCTCCATAATTTTTAAGTCATTGTGATGGTTAACATGAATGGATTAGTAATTGGAATCATGAAGCTTAGCTACTAAACCAAGTATGAATTGGTAATTAGAATAACTTTTAGCTATTGAACTATTAGAAATCATATTTAAGTGCTTGGTTATCTGTTAGTCAAGGAGTCTGAAAAAGCAGAATTTCAATTAATATTTCATAAGTCACTCCTAGTTCTCTTCTTGTTTAAGAATGAAAAAGTAATCTCAGTTGCCCTTTTCAATTTAAAGAAGAAAACAGAATCACATGTAATCATCTGGAGTAGACTGTTGCATACATGACTTATCTTCTAGTACAGACTTTCTGGATTTTTTTCAGATGGAAATATTATTATATGCTAATAGGTATTTGTTAGTATTTCTTTAATTTTTCTTGCTATGAAATTGTAAAAAAATTTTTTAACCCATTTCTTTTCACCCTTTTTTATTTAGTAATAGTGTAGAATAAAAAGTTCATCCCTAAATATTGCATGCTTCTATTTTATAATGTATTGAGGTTGATTCAGTAACAAAATTATAACAATAGAAAATCTGCATATTATATATCTAGTATGTTAAGTACATTTTCCAGTAATGTACTTAACATATTTAAAAAAGTAAACAGTATATTAAGGTACTGCAATTATACTTTTCTGAGTCAAACCATTGAGTTAACAGTATCCTCTAGAAATTGAACTTCAATAAAAATTAACTACAACCACATACAAGGCTTAGACCACAGTGTTTCTCCTTGCAGATTGTAATTAGTCACAAAACCAGAAAGTACAGTTATGTTTACCAGTAGTTCCATTAAAGATAACACCTCAGCTTCCAATATATTTTTTACCAAAATTTGTCATATATTTCTTTGATGTGTAAAATTATTATCTGTATAAGAAGTTTTCAGGTGGGAAATATCAGGATCCAGATAGGATTTCAGCTCTCATGTACACCTGTACTAGGATTGATTCTTAAATGTTACTATGTATTTCTATTCAAGAATTGTGTAATTTTTATTTACACCACAAATTTTGGAAGAGTTTTTTTTTCAAGATAAGAAAGAGATAATGTTTGATACACTGAATCATCAGAATTACTTGCTTCCAGAATTACTCTGTTGCAGTTGACTGAAATCTGCAACATGAAACTTAGGTTACAAATAAGACATCATCTTCTAGGAGTCAATTGTAGAGTTCAAGGAAAGTATGTGGTGGTGCAGGCCTTTTTTTTTGTATGACATTTTTAATAATGTAGCTGTAATATCGAGATTTATAAATAAATTATATTGTAAACTTTTTAAAAATTATTTAATAACCATATGATTAGACAAAGCATTTCATTACAGCTTTAACATATTCAGTAACAATTTCCAGAGCAAAGATC